ATTTTTCATGCCCAAAGTCTCTCTCGAAACACTGTTTATCCACTAATGTATTTTTCACCATTGCACTGCATTGGCATTGATTCCACTACTTCATAATTGCCCCCTAACATGTTAATGTCTGTCTCATACATTTTGTTTCTAATACTCCTAAGTATAAGCACTTAATTACCTGTTTCTTCAACAGGCCTTTTTCTCTTGGGTTTTTTTCCCCCCACTTTTACTTTAATTCTTATTTGTCTTCTTTTCAGATTCCTTTTCAATTTTCTTTCCTTCCGTTCTAGTCTAACTATTTTGCCAAGATGACTGTTGTCAATCTCATTCAAATGTAATCCATCTTGTCTCCATACAGCAGATAACTTGCCTTTGTAAAGTTATCCAGTGGCTCTGAAAGTTGAAGCCTTTTTTTCAGCAGATTATATACTTAGTTACATGTTAATGTATTAACATTCACAGTTGTTCACCTTTGCATAATGTACATAGGAGTCCTGAGACCGTTCATTCCAGGATATTTTAATATGTTGTACATAGACAATTTGCAGTTTAAGACACTTTCATTTTTCCTAACACATTCAACAACAAATGTGTTTTTAACTGCCTTCACTAGGGGCCTGTCAACTAGAGACAAAATGGATTAGCCAGATTCAACCAGGCGGCTGAAGTTAAGATCCATAGTCTTTTCAAGTGCCTGATTGCATCTTTAACCCAGCAGCCAGTACTTTGGCTTAATGTTTCATCTCATGGACAGAACCTCCTAAAGCACTGTCCCTGAATACTATACTAGGGTGTTGGTTTAGAAATTCAGAGGTAGTGTCTTCTGGTACCAATTGGTCTCCCATCCAACTGTGGACTAAGTACCTTATGAGATCCGTTGACAATAGATTACAGAATAGAGACAATAGGTGGTTTTAGTGTTCCTGTGTAAGTTATATTTTAAGTAAGAAAAACTAAGTTGTCTAAAATAAAATTCTTACCTAACCCTTTTGATTAACAAATTAAAATATATTTAAAAAGACACTTCAACGGTAGTTTACATCTCACTCAATAATGTTACTTGCTCCAAATGTCTCCTGTTTTTTCACCTGATTTACATTGAGATTTAACAGTAAACAACTAACATTTTTTGCAAAAAATTGAAATACCATGTATAGGGGTAGTCACCCAAGAACAATGCTTCTTTTTCACTGTAATCCCTATTGCAGTGTTCTCCTGTATTTTTAAGAGTGATAACACTTTCTGTATTTTAATGCAAACCAAAATTTATGCTGAAAATGTCGAATAATCTATTTTTAGTTTATTATATGTATAAAAAATGAAGTATATGCCTTCTGTCCTGTATTTACCATGTCTCTGTGACACCTCTGATTCCACGTTACCTGCTTGTGTATAAATGTCTGGGATGTAGTTTGAGACTGCTAAATGGATACAGTCATATCTGATCTGTGAGGTGGATGTGATGCTTGATTTTTTTTCGGGGTGAATGGTGTCTAACAAAGGTGGGTGGAATCAAAGTAAATCTTCACATGAGAATAGAGGGTGATTCTGTTTGTAAGTGCCCCAGAATCACTTTCTGTTGATTTTAAGACTTTCAGCTTAATATAATTTTGTATAGTAATCATTTCTATAGCAGCTCCACTGTTTGTAACTCCCATGTGTGAGACAAAAATGATTTGCTCTATCACAATTCTTAAATCCAGAAATTCTGAAAATCCCTTCTGAATTCCTCTACTAATTTGTTCTTGGTGGGGCCATTTTTCTGTGCTTTTCATTTTTGTAGGCTTTGATATCTAGCTTTGGGAAGTACTCCAGCATTTTATTCTTGTAGTAGGACCACAGAACCAGTATCAATGTGAACTCATTCTCAGTATTGATCATATGTGAAATGTATGTCCTGTCCTTGCAGATAGTTCTACTGCTCTTTGAGTTTTGGTTTTCTGTCTGTAAGGAACCCTGCAGTTTACAAAAAGAAGTCTTATTTGACAGCTCTCTGCACTAGTGATGACTTGAGGCATCAGATCTGAACTTTTTTTTGGACTTTCCCTCGACTTAATACACCAGTATAGAGGATTAGTTCACTGTAAGCAGTATTAAGAGAGTCAAGTAAGGATTTCAGCAAGTGGTGCTTAAGGGCTCTTGCTTCAGTTGAGTTTACAGTTTTGACAACTTTGATTATATGAACAAACTTAACTTGGTAATACTTCTGTTGAACTATACAGTGGTAATGGACAGAAGGTATTTGAAATAAGTATTGTTTCTGAAAAACACAACAAAGACTCCATTTACATCAAGCATGACTGGTGCACCATCGGCTGTGATGAGTAAGATTTTTTTGATTGGAGTGTTTTTCTCAAGCATGTACCTTTTGAGTTTATTATAGATATCCTCACCTTTTCCTTTCTCTTCAAGGGGCAAAAGGGTGAGAAGATCCTCGTTAGTTTTCATAGCCTTAAAAACCATAAATGTATTTTGATTTGTGGGTCTTCAAATTCTGCAGTAGCTGCTGAAATATTTCTTTCATGGCATGTTATGGATTGCTGTTATTTTTTTTTGTTTTTAAAATCTTTGAATAGAGGATCAGTGATCAAAATTGTATCTTTAATTTTTCTCCAATCCATGAATCAATTTTTAACCTTTCAGTTTATTAACTTTCTTTGTGTGAAGTGAGATTATCTGTTGCAGACTCAGATTTATGGGTTGGAGACAGAAATATCTTTGTATACTGTTTGTATTACTTTGAATATGCAATAATAGGCAAATGGAGTTTGAAAAAATGCTTGGTGGCAGAAAAGTATGTGCTCAATATTTTCACATAGAGAAATGTAGTTGAACTGCCATAAATTGTTTCAGTTATAGTAGAAATCATGTCACCTGCATTAAAAAAACTTCCTACTGCAATCTCATTATCTGTAACTTTAAATCTGAGTTCAGACAATAGAAATAAACCTGAAATTAAAAACATACTAGAACTATCAATTACTCTGTT